CGCGCCCCTCAGGAGCTTAAGGTAGAGCTGAGCGTCCAAGACGCCTCGGTGCCTCCCACCGGGTGAGACCATCCGGATCAATCGAGCCCGCCTCCGGCGGGCCGTCCCCGCGATGGCCCACGGTCCTCCGTCGCCTGGTTGAACCCCCTGCCTCCCGGTTGACCCCCCAGATGTCGTAGTCCATCATGAAATAAACTCAAAGTCCACCAGCCTCCACCCTCCGCCTCCACCGTCGAGCCGCGATCGCTGCCGCCCGCGACGCCGCCCGCCGCGTCAGATTGCCGCGACACGCGCCTCGAGTCCAGTCGGAGAGCCGCGCCGCATCAGCAGCAGCATCAGCACCAGCACCACCAGCACCACCAGCACCACCAGCACCAGAGAGAGGCGCAACCTGCCCGACGCCGCCGTGTCAGCTGCTCCCGACGCGCGTCTCGAGCCGAGTCGCAGAGCCGCGCCGCGCCAGCAGCAGCATATGCACCAGCATCAGCAACATCACCACCACCAGCAGCACCAGAGAGACAGTGCAGTGTGACAGCAGCGCACAAGCGCTCGCAGAGCGGCGCTCAGCGCCGCGCACGCCACGCCGCGGGCGGTCCAACGAGCGCAGCGTACGTCGGCCGCGAGCCGCGTCACCAGCCGTCTCGCGAGAGACCGGCGCCGCCGCGTGCGCGCAGCAGCCGCCGCGGCAGAGGCGAGCCGCGCCGACGTCCGCACTAACGGATAACTGCCATTGGCGGTTTTTCACTCTCTCTCTCTCAGTCCTAGGTAGGTAGGTAGAAAGGTGAAGTATCCACCTCGAGAACCTCGAGAACAAAAGAAACTTGACAAGCCGAGCGTGATACTTTGCGATTGGCCAGGCCAAGGTGCGAGCCGCCCAAGCGAGCGAGCGCGGCTCGCGGCTCGATGGGTCTCTGCGCCTCCAAGCAGGTCGAGAATGGGGCCACTGCGGAGGATGACGCCTCGCGCGACATCAACTCCAAACTGGAACAGATGCAGCGCGAAGAGCAGGCCGTCACCAAGATGCTGGTCCTCGGGACGGGCGAGAGCGGGAAGAGCACTGTCTTCAAGCAGATGAAGCTTCTGTACTCGGTGCCGGATCCGCCGGCCAAGTTCGTGACGGTGGTCCGCGCCAACCTCTTTGGCAACACCCACGCCGTCGCCGCCGGCATGCAGAAGCTCGGCATCGACTTCCAGACGGACGAGGGACGGATGGCGTCCGACCTGCTTCTCAAGCTGCCGGCGGACGGGAACATCGAGATGGACGCGATGTACCCCGCGGCGTTCGACGCGATGTGGGCCGACCCCGGCGTCCAGGCCGCCATCGCACGCTCCTCCGAGTTCCAGCTCAACGACTCGACGGCCTACTTTTGGGAGCGCGCGGTGAGCGCCCTCCGCTTGCGCCGCCGCCGTTGTCCGCGCCTCCCGCCATCCCGTCCGGAGCCCACCGCCGCCAGCCGAGCGGCGTAGATGAGGGCGCCAGCCCACCCACCCCAGTGTCCGGCGCCCTTGGGCCGGCGTCTGTGCCCGCCGCTCTCATGCCCGGCCTCCTGATTGCCCTCTCCGCAGGGCGACATCCTCCGGACAGACTTTGTCCCGACCCAGCAGGCTCGCTGCGGCCCCAGGCCCACAGCGGCACACCCCGAGAGCGGGGCGCTGGCCACAGCTACGCTGCCGCCCCAGACCCGCAGCGGCGCGGCGGGGTTCCCTGGACGGAAGCACGCCACGACTGCGCATGTGGGTGTGAGAGGGCGAGCAGCGGTCGAACTCCTCCCTGTCCCCGCCACACTCGCCTCTGGCTCCGGAGCCGCCGCCACCGTGGCACCGCCAGCCGCCGCTGCCGCACATCCTTGTTGCCGACGCGCCCGCCTCGCCGCCGCCTCGTAGGACGTGCTGCGAGCTCGCGTGCGGACGACGGGCATCGTGCAGCAGAACCTCGCCATCAACGGCCGGCGCTACTCGATGTTCGACGTCGGCGGCCAGCGCAACGAGCGTCGGAAGTGAGACCGCGTCTCTTCGCCGCTGCCGCTGGGGCGCGGGGGCTTCTCGGAGCTGTCTCGGAGCCTTCCCCGTAGGTGGATCCACGTGTTCGACAACGTGACCGCCATCATCTTCGTGACGGCAGTCTCCGAGTTCGACCAAGTGCACACACGCAAGCACACACACACACGCACACACACACACACGCCCACGCGCACTGGGCCTTGCACTCTGAATGCCGTGGGGCTCCTGTCGCCTAGACGTGGAGTCGCGAGGGACTAGCCTGGCCCTTGCCCCACCGCCTTGTGTGTGTGGAGAAGGTCCCCTTACCTTACCTTACCCTTGAGCAGGTGCTGTACGAGGACGAGAGGTGTGGACAGCGTCTCTTCACACCCACTGCTGTGAACAGGTGCTGTACGAGGACGAGAGCACCAACCGCATCGACGAGGCGCTGCGGCTGCCTCGAGCAGAGCCCTTAATTAGTCGAATTTAATTGATTCATTTGGTGTAATTAATTGAAAGGCGCTGCGGCCTCGAGCAGAGCCTTTCAAGCTCCGACACCCCCTCATCGAACCGACTCCATCCTCAGGCGCTGCAGCTCTTCCAGCAGATCCTCGCGCACCGCTCCTTCCACAACACGTCGATCATCCTCTTCCTCAACAAGCGCGAGACTCGCCGAGAATACCCGAGATTGTACGAGACAGCACGAGATGACTCAGAGCTGTTGGAGAGCTCCCCACGGCTGCCGCAGCCAGAGCAGACGCTGAGGAGACCACGCCACACCTCGATGGGCCAGGCGCGACATCTTCCAGAAGAAGCTCGAGCGCGGCGTGCCCCTCACTGTGTGGGACAAGGAGTACACCGGCGGGGCCGACTACCACTCCGCCATCGACCACGTCAAGGCGCGCTTGCATCATTCTTAATTAGCTCGTTACTCGTCCTCAACCATTAAGTAATACCACTCCCATCGACACTTACTATTACTCAATTACTTACTATTAATCAATTAGCTACTCGTCCTTAATTATTAATTAACACCACTCCGCCATCGATCTCAAGGCGCGCTTCCTCGCGCTCAACGACCGGCCTGAGCAGCGCCAGATCTACGCGCACGCGACGTGCGCCACCGACTCGGACAACATGGAGTTCGTGATGGCGTCCGTGTTCGACATCATCCTCAAGGAGACCCTGCCGCGGGATGGGACCGCCGCCCACCCGCCAGGAGCCTTCCAGGAGCCCTCCAGCGACCTGCCCATAGGAGAACCTGCGCAAGATGGACGAGGGGACGGCGGACGCCCTCGAGACGGGCGGCGGCGGCGTCTCGGCGGTCAAGTCTCCCGCACCGTACGCCGAGGACACGGTCATCCTGGCGGCGTGCTTCTTCACGGACTCGCTCTCGGAGCGGATGGTGCTGACGGACGCGCGAGACGCCGCGCGGCTCCCCGCCGTCGAGCTGCAGCGCGGCCGCATCTCCGACGCAGAGTGGCGGTGGTGCATGGCGCTGGGCAAGGGGGTGCCCCCCTCGACGCAGATGCAGACCTCGCACTCCGAGATCGGCTCCTTCGCCGGCAACTTCAAGGACGGAGTGCGCGCGCTGCGCAAGCTGCTGGCCATGCCGGACGGCGCCGAGCTGGGCTGGCTGTACGACACGCCGTGTTTCTTTTTCTCTGAATTTCTTTTCGTCTCTAGGCGCCGAGCTGGGCTGGCTGTACGACAAGCCCATCTACCTCGAGCACTCGCGGCTCACCGTGCTGCTCTGCGTGCGCAAGCTGCCCGAGGAGGTTCGCGCCTACTTCCCTCCCGGCGCGATGAAGCACCCGGTCTCGTGGCGCGTGCACGAGGAGTTTGAGGACGCGACGTACCTCAAGTACTCCGGGCAAGACACGGTCGCCGCGCCGTGCAAGCCCCCGCCAAAGGACGAGGAGCTCAACCCGTTCTAATGAATTAACTACCAACTAATTAACCAGTCACTCAATTAGTTCTTCAATACTTATAGGAGTTCAACCCGTTCGCGCCCAACCCGGTCCGCTTCCGCTGGTTCAAGGGCGCGGTGCTCTTCAACTCCCAGGTCGAGAAGATCCCGGAGCGCGGCGTCTACCTTGGCATCCTGCGTGTCGTCTCGACGCCGTCCGGCTTCAAGGCGATGGTCGAACGATTGCACCCGCGTCATGATTCACAACTAACTAGTTAAAATAATGAACGGATGCAGGTGATGGTCAACGAGCACAACCGCGTGATGACTCATCACTAGCTAATTAATAATTAATGAATGCATCAAAGGTGATGGTCAACGAGCACAACCGCGTGATGACTCATCACTAGCTAATTAATAATTAATGAATGCATCACAGGTGATGGTCAACGAGCACAACCGCGTGATGATCCCGCACATCTTCCTCACCTCGCAGCAGCTCACCGACGAAGAGCGGGCGTGGGCGCACGGCGTGCGCGTGCGGTGGGAGCGGGGCGTGCCGCTTCTCGAGGGCGCCACGCCCAACCGCGGCTGGCTCGGGCCAGAGGTGACTGGCGGAGGAGGGGGGGCGACCTTCCACTTAACTAGTTATCCAGTGTTAGTTATTGGTCGAATCAGGTGACTGGCGAGGAGGGGGCGACCTTCCGCGAGAAGCTCTGGTGGGCGATCGGAGAGGCGACCGAGCGCGGCTCGGCGTTCGGCCTCAATGTAATAAAAACGACTGAAGAATGAATCATTCATCGACAGGCAAAGGAGCGGCTCGGCGTCGGCGGTGGGCCGTCGGCTGGCGCTACGAACGCAGTCAACGAGGCGTCGCCGCTCGGCGTGCTCTGCGGACCCGTGAACGGCGCTTCTTCACACCGCCGGCCGTGCGAGGGCAGGCGGCGCCGCTCGGCGTGCTGTACGACCACGAGGCGATCGACATCGACGAGCGCGGACACATACAGCTGCTGCTCTTCTGCTCGCTGGTGAGTGAGGGGCGGGGGGCGGGTGGGTGGGTGGGTGGGTGGGTGGGGGGGGGGGGGGGGGGTAGTGCGGACATACACAGCGGTTCTCTTCTGCTCGCTAGTGGAGGGTGGGGTAGCTTGGCGCATCCTTCGCGGACCCTTCTCGGACCCTTCCCGCAGGTGGAGGACGAGTCGGAGCTGCTGCCGGGGCACGTGTGGGTCGACCGCAAGGTGCTCCTAATTAAGGCCTTCTGCTTAATTAATTGCTTGATTATTAAGCACGTGTGGGTCGACCGCAAGGTGCTCGAGACGCAGAACATGCGCTTCATGTGCCCGAACACGCTCTCGTCCATCGTCTCGCGGCAGGTCTGCCTCCCCATCTCCCCATCTCTCCCCATCTCTCCCCATCTCTCCCCATCTCTCCCCATCTCTCCCCATCTCTCCCCATCTCTCCCCCTATCTCGTTCATCGTCCCGCAGGTCTGCTCAGTTAATTAGAGCTAGTGGCAGCACCTTCGAGCGGTCCGCCCTCCCCCGCAAGCCTCGCCCGCACCCTCACCCTCGCCCTCGCCCTCCCCTTCAAGGGCGCGCTGCAGCGAGAGCTGGCGTCGATCGACACGGGCGCGACAGTCGACACCCTAGAGCCGTGAAGAGACTGGGCGCCCCTTCACACGCCTGGCTGTGAACAGGCGTGACGGTCGACAACATGGAGCTGATGGCGCAGATGCGGGCGCACAAGGAGGCGCTCAAGGAGAAGATCGCGGCGCTCTCCGACGCGCAGCGGCCGCTCCGCTGGGTCAACCGCGTCATCTCGTGGTGCGCCGACAAGCGCCCCTCCTTCGCTGACGGCGTGCCGGGCGCGGAAGGCGCGCCACACTCCCGCGCACACGCACGCCCGCGCCGGCGGTGGCGGGGGGAGCCGCGTCTCTTCACACCTGCCGGTGTGAACAGGCCTCTCGACCGACGAGCTCGTGGCGGAGGCGATGCGGCGCAACACGGCCGTGTCCGAGCTCAAGCAGGCGCGTCGCGCGCTCCTGGCCGAGCATCTCCCGCCGCCCAGCCGCACCTCGGGCTGACGATGCTTGCGCTGCCGGAGGAAGCCAGCAGAGAGGAGTTTGTGGCACACCACCACCATGTGTGGAGAGCCGGCCTCTCCGTGCCGCTCCTCTCTCGCATCGCACGCGCTTGCTCACGCCGGCGGGCGCGGGCATGAGGCCAAGCGGCTTGTGAGAGGACAATCGGTGCATGAGCAGCCACGACAGAGATCACATCGCGATCAAACAGTGAGAGAATTCATTATTGCCGCCGCCCCGTGGCCCGTGCGGGCGCGGACAGAGAGGCGAGAAGAGAAGCGCATCAAAGCAGCAAGAGGGTAACGTCGTACGAGTACGTATCGACTCGGTTGTGTCATGAATTTCACGTTTACCCGGCAGGCACCCAAACCCCTAAATGCTAAAACCCCTAACCCCCAAAAGCAAAACCCTAAGAATACTAACGCCCCAAGGGCCCCCCTCGACATCGACTATCATCGCGGCTAGAGCTCCTTCGAGCACTCCACACATGCGCCGCACCCATTCCACGTGCACCGCTCCTCCCACAAGTCAGTCTTCCCGCCACAAAAAGGCTTGCAGCTAGCCTCCGGCGCGGTGGGGGCAGGGATAGGCTGGAGGCACGCCGGACATCCACCGCAGCCGCCCCAGTTGCACTTGTCGGTCCACCCTTCGGTCTTGTCGACACAGAAAGGCTTGCACTCCGCCGGCGCTGCAGCAGGCGGTGGGCGAGGCTGCACGGTTAGCCCAGGGCACACGTCGCATGCTCCGCACCCATTCCACATGCATTTGTCCTCCCAGGTGTCGGTCTTCGTGGTGCAGAAGGGCCTGCAGGAGGCTTCGCGTGCTTGCCGCGCCGTCGCTATGCACTCGGAGCATCCACCGCAGCCGTTCCACTTGCACCTCACCCCCCAAGGGTCGGTCTTATCGGCACAGAACAACATGCACGTTCTGGCTGCTACAGGGGGCGTCGTAACGCACCCGATCATCTGAGGGTGTTTGGCGCAGTACTCGGCTTCGTCCATCCCCTCTGCGCACGCTAGGCAGTCCGCGGTCATCGCGCGGCAGCAGGCTCGCGGCGGTGGCAACGGGGGTGAGTCGGGGGGCAGTTGCGGAGAGGGGGCGGGTGGCGACGCTTCGGGCGGCGGCGGTGGCGGGCAGCGGCTGCAGCCAGTGCAGTCGCAGCCTGCCTTCTCGAGGGCAGCGCAAGGTTGTCCGTAGCAAACGCCATCATAGCACGGCTTCCAGTGGTCACAGGTGTACCCAAAGCATGTGCTTGGACAGGCTGTGGCTTCGAGGCCGAGGGCGATGACGAATGCCATGTGGAAGGTACCGCCGTGCTGGCTGATCCACGCTCTTGGCATCACTTGAAAGGACCCAACGACGCGTTACTGTGTCAGGGTTGTGAGATGCTGCTGCGGATGCACGTGGAGAGCGTGCGGCTCGAGCGATCGTCACGACGACTGCAGCGAGTCTCTTCCGCCACTGTGGCGAGTAAAAAGGGAAGATGATCTGACAGCCCGGCAGGTGAATGATTAACGGCGCGATGAACTGGTAGCCTATGTGGCAAATCGCTTGGCCACCATTGCTGACGTAATGGAATACCAGCGGGCCAATCACACCCATCGCAAAGGAGACCACCATGATCTCCAGGTGAGAGACGCGAAGCACTCTACCCAGGTGCATGGAAAGGAGCAGGAATGGAGTGCAGATGGCAGCGCCGAGCACGTCGTAGAACGAGCCGTGGTAGGCGACAATCACCCCCATGACAACAATGCCTTCAAAGGCGAGGAGCTGCACCAGCCAGCCGTAGGGGAGAGGCCGTTCGAGCAGCTCATCGCACACAAAGAGCCCCTGTGCGGCCGTGCGGCACTCGCCGTTCGCAATCGCATTCGCCAATGCAGTCAGGTCAGCAAGGCCGCTGAAGACGAGGTCTCGTCCGCACCGCAGGACGTGAGCCTCGTATCTGCCAAATGACGCCTGTACTACCCTGTGACCCACGCTAATGGAGGGCGTGGGCATGTCGAGGGCGGCGGCGACGTCCACCATGAATTGCTCGACGTCGACCGACATGTGGCCGCAGGCGTACATACCGAGGCCGAGCTTCAGCACGAGCACGACCTTGTCTGCAAGGGCCGCGTCGCCCGCACGCTCGTAGCGATAACGAACGTCGCCTTCGGTGACACTGCTGTAGGGGCCAATCGGCGTGTGCTGCCGAGTGCCGCTGTGCGACCGAGACTGCACCTCGGCGGGGTGCTCCTCTGCGATCGAGATCAGCAGCGAGACGCTCGGAAGAGGACCAAAGTCGACATGCATCGCGCTGGCCCACCACCCGCTCTTTGCTGTGCTTCGCTCGCCCTCTTCCTCAAGGTCCTCTTCCGAGCCGCCACGGCGCTTGCAAAAGAAGACGATGGACGGTAGAAGAGTGAGAAAGACGACGACGCCTAGAACTGCCATCAGCTCGGGCGACGGCAGGCCGTCCTTGCCGCGGAGGAACTGCAGCGGCTGCTGCGCCATTGGGCGGCCAGGCTGGCCGAGGAACTGCAGCGGCTGCTGCGCCATTGGGCGGCCAGGGTGGCCGACTGTGTCAAAAGCTTCCGGAGACGGGGACGCACGTCGCGCCGTTCGACGGAAAACGAGAATTCTGCGCCGCACTCGAGAAACGAGAACCCAAAGCCTCAGGCGACCCGCGGACGCCGGTAGCCTCAGCCGCCGAAAGGGGGATGTTGCTTTGGTGGTGGCGCCGGCTTTGATTGGTTCCTTGCTCGCAGCGCCCCCGCCGCGATTCCACAGTCCTAGTGGCGCTTCGCGTCCGACAAGGCGAGCACCCTCTCGCTCGCACCGAAGGCTCTGGAGCACGCTCCAGTAGTTCGAGGGCCCAAGTCTCTTTGTCGGCGACACGCCTCCATTTTCGCTGCTGCCCTCAGCACAGGGACAGGCCTCAGCATGGTTCTCGACGAAATCATTGTCGCAGCGGTGTCAGCAGCAGTTCCCGTTCTCCTTACCACAGTGCTCCCGACGAAGTGCTGCGTGTGGCCTGGGTCTGTGAAGACACCGAGCACCGATCGGAAAGTGGATGCAAACAAGGCCGTTGAGGATGCGCGGAGTGTTTCCGATGGAAACGCGGACGAGGCGCTTCAGCCATCTTCAGAGGTGCGAAAGTGGGTGGCGCAGCTGCGCTGCGGAGGGGACGGGCAGAGGGAGCAGGCCGCGAGGGAGCTGTGCCACCTCGCTCGCAACTCCGATAACAACAAGGTGGCGATCGCGAGGGCGGCCGGCATCCCGCCGCTGGTGGCGCTGGCTCGCGGCGGCACGGACGGGCAGAAGGAGTGGGCCGCGGCGGCGCTGGTGAACCTCGCTATCAACGCCGACAACCAGGTGGCGATCGCGAAGGCGGGTGGCATTGCGCCGCTGGTGGCGCTGGCTCGCGGCGGCTCGTACTGGCAGAAGGAGGAGGCCGCGAGGGCGCTGCGGAACCTCGCTATCAACGCCGACAACCAGGTGGCGATCGCGAAGGCGGGCGGCATTGCGCCGCTGGTGGCGCTGGCTCGCGGCGGCTCGGACGGGCAGAAGGAGTTGGCCGCGTGGGCGCTGGGGAACCTCGCTTGCAACGCCGACAACAAGATGGCGATCGCAAAGGCGGGCGGCATCGCGCCGCTGGTGGCGCTGGCTCGCGGCGGCACGGACGGGCAGAAGACGTATGCCGCGAGGGCGCTGTGGAACCTCGCTTACAACAACGCCGAGAACCAGGTGGCGATCGCAAAGGCGGGCGGCATCCCGCCGCTGGTGGCGTTGGCTCGCGGCGGCACGGACGGGCAGAAGGCGTGGGCCGCGGATGCGCTTGGGATCCTCGCTTTCAACGCCGACAACAAGGTGGCGATTGCGAACGTAGGGTGGCAATAGCAGGTGTGTACGCGCACCGCATTCCCCGATGGCAACACGTACCCCAGCCAAATCCATCTCCAGGCTTGGAGGTTGGAGAGATGGGTATTTACACACAGAGGGGGGGGGGGGGGGGTTGCACAGGTAGAGGGTCGACTCTATCTAAAATATGAGGATTCAGGTTTGAGGCATCGCTTCAGTGAGGCCAAAGTGAGGTTTATGGATGTGTGAGAACGGTATACGGAACGCGAGGAGTCACGTGGGACCTCGAGACGGAGGCGCGATTTCTACAGTAGGCCCTCGCAGTCTCCACACTCTCCCGAACGGTAGTCGTCTCGCGTCGGTGTCAACGTGTGTACGTGGCTCTTACGTACATTCCCGTAGGAGGACTCCCTGGTCTCTGCTGACAGGGTTTGCGATTTTGGTAGCGTGACACTTCTTCTCCGGTCCTGAAAGCCTCTCGCAAACAACGAATCACTCAAGTTGCTGCTGTCAGTCCGTCACTCAAGTCCTTCCTCACAAGCCACAGAGGTCAGAGCTCTGCACAGCCCCACCCCGACGCAATCGACGCCCTTCCCGCTCGACTTCCCGCTCTCGATGGCAGCCGATAGCACGAGCGGGAGGAAGGCCCGCCCCCGCTGGCGCCTCCGGTCCGCCTCAGCTCAAGACGCGACGAAAGTGCTCGTACAGGCCGAAGAAGACGCCGATCAGCGGCGCGTAGTAGAGCGTGCGACACCTAGAAAAGAAATCAACGCATGAAGAAGAATAGCGTGGGTTTGCCTCGGCGTTGTACAGAGTGCACCTAGAAAGAAAATGCCGCGGTAAAAAAGAAATACACCGGGCGAGTGGCGAGTGCGTAGTACAGAGCGCGGCACGTGATCCCGCGTAGCAGCGTGCACGCGCCTTGCTCTCGCACTAGGTCCACGCCTGTTCACAGCTAGAGGTGTAAAGAGACGCTGTTCACAGCTAGAAGGCGCCTTGCTCGCGGACGAGGTCCACGCCTACAAAAAAGAAATACAGCTGCGCAAGAAGAAGAAATACATCGCGCCGCTCGCGGACGAGGTCCACGCCCAGCTGGACGGCGCCGCGAGGCCTGCGCGAGGGAAAGGCGGGCGGGCGGTTAGCTCTGGCTAGTTCGCGGGTACCTCGGCTAGATCTCGGCTGTATCTCGGCTGTATCTCGGCTAGACCTCGGCTGTATCTCGGCCAGCTCACGGTAGCTCTCCAGATCTCGGCTAGATCTCGGTTGCATCTCCGCCTGCTCCCGTCGGCGGGCGCGTCCTGCGTAGTCGCGTGTGTCACCAGCACGTCGAGCGGCGTCGTCACCGCGGCGGCGAGGGCGCCTGTTGGAAGTGCAATTCATGGTTAATCACCAATCATGATTCCTCGTCGTCAGCGCGGCGGCGGGCGCGCCTCACGAAGTAGAATCACTCATGAGCACTCAAGAGCTAGGTACCGGGTCGTCGTCAGCGCGGCGAGGGCACCCGCAAAGACCCCCGCCAGGAGGTCCAGCGGGAGGCCCTCGACCACCTGTTCACAGCCGCACGCCGTGAAGAGACGCCGTTCACACTCACACCAGCCGAGCGGGAGTTTGCCGGCGGCGGGGGCAGCGGCGCCACCGCGTCGGCGGCGAGCTCGCTGACTCCCGAACCTAGAAAAAGAAATCCATGCGGTGAACATGAGACACACATCGCGCCGTTGGCTCGTCTGGCCACTGAACCTAGAAGAGAAAATGCAGCGCGTGAAAAAGAAGTACATCGGGCGGCGTTCGCTCGCTGGCTCCAAGAGCCGAGGTCGCTGCCGAGCTCGTGCAAGCGAAGGGCGGCCTCTTGCAGCCGCTGCTTTGCCTCTGCGTACGCCGCGACTTGCAGCCTAGAAAAAGAAATATATGCGGTAAACAAGAAAAAAATACGGCCGGTCCTCCTTCATCTGCGGCCGGCAGCCCTCCGAACGGCACGTCGCGCACCAGAATCGCCGCCCACGAAGCCTTTCCAGCCGAGAGGAGCCGAAGTGAGCCGTGATGCGTCGAAATGAGCCGAGAGGAGCCGAGATGATCCGAGATGAACCGAGAGATGAACCGAGATGCGCCGAGATGCGCCGAGATTGCCCGAGATTGCGCCTTCCAGCACTCTGTGTCAATGTCGGCGAGCGCGCGGTGCCACCCTCCCAGCCCAAGCCCCCCCTCCTCGCCGCCCGCGCCGCTCGCGGTCTGAAGCCGCTTGCACAGTACCTCTGCGGGCAGGCGCAGCACCTGGGGAGATTTGCGGGAGATTGTAGGGGAGATTGCGGGAGATTGCACAGCTCCTCGGCGGGCAAGCGCAGCACCGAGCCAGCCGCGTCTCCGACGGCGCCGCTCAGCATGAGGGTGAGCGTCTATTGCACCATATCATCAGAGGGTGAGCGTCTATTGCACCATATCATCGGAGGGTGAGCGTCTTTGCGCTTGGACGGGGGGTGGGGGGTCAGCACAGAGGGTGTTGAGGGGGTGAGTACGGCAGGAGCACACCACGCAGGCGAAGAGCCCCTCTTGTGTGCTGCGTGGTGCACCCCCGGCGCGGTTACTCTCGGCACCGTGTGTTCGTGTGACTTCTCAAGCGTTCGCAGGGAGCATGTGTCTTGGCAGGTCCATACCATGCGGCCGCATGGTGCATCGGGGACCCCTACCCCACGGGCCGCACATCCCCCCGCACCCACACCGGTACCTGAACCCATACGGTCTTTGGCATCTGCGACCGCCGCCAGGTGGCTCGCAAACCACGGCGAGGAGTAGGCGAGGGTGCGGCTGAGCTCCTCGGAGACCATCAGAAAGACCGCGGCGTCGGGCGCCTCCTTAAGCACGTTCGCGGGCAGGCCCGTGTACAGGCCCGTCATCAGTCGCGGCCGCGCCGGCTCGTCCGGTGCGGGACGCCGGCGTCGGAGGACCGGAGCGCGAGCGGGCGACACAGTGTATGCGTCCGACTGCAGCCGCGTCTTGAGCGTGTCGATCGGATGGAGCAGCACCGTCGCCATCGCTGAGGCGGCAAAGGCAGCCTTCGCGTTGAGGGCGAGCGAGCAGCCGCCGTCGTCAATCAGCGTCAGCGCGGCACAGCGCCTGCCAGAGCGGGCGCGGCAGAGACCAGAAACCGCGAACGCGGCCCTCGCGTGAAGCACCGGGCAAAAGTCGACTGCAGCCGCTGAGTACGCTACCAACAAGGCTGCCAGCACGGCCCGGACGGCACGAGCCGTCATCAGTGGCCGGTGGGCCGCCGAAGACAACTCTCTCAAGCGCCGGGCTTGTGATCTGCTCGAGTATTTCTTTTTTTATGAATTTCTTTTCTTCCGCCACTCGATCTCCACTTACATACATACACTCGTAAAAGATGAACACAATGTCTTAGTTTTACGAACGCAAACTCGAGCGCTTAGTTGCGTGCATTCTTTTTCTCGGTGACTGCTACTTGTTTTTGAGAGAGAGAGACTCTCTCTACTTGTTTTGATTGTGCTGCAGAACAAACTGACGAAGCCCGGTACCTGGATGAGGTGACATGGATCATTTTCAGCCCTATGAGCGCCCTCCCTCTGCCGCCAGTCTGGCAGCAACCGCCCTGGCCCTCGCAGCAGTTGTAGCAGCACGCCTCGCCCCTGTAGCGGCCTTCGCATCCTCCAGAGCGGTCTCACTCCCAGCCAGCGCCGCCCGCGCCCCATCCAGTGCCGCCGTGGCCGCCTCCAATGCTGCCCTGGCCTCATCAAACGCCGCCTTGGCCGCCGCTTGCGCCTCCTCGGCAGCCTCCTCAATCGCCACCGCCGCTGCCTCGGCCTCCTCCTCCTCCTCCGCTTCCTCCTCCGCCGCGTCCGCCTCAGCGTCCAAGCGCGCCGCCTTAGCCACCTCTGCCGACGCCGCCGCCTGGCTCTCCGCCGTGATGCCGAGCCGGATCCGCTCCTCGTGACACTGCTCGAGAAGCCTGATAATTCTCTCCTCCTCGGCCTTCTTTGCGGCCTCGGCTGCGTCTCAGGGGGTGGCTGGTCCCACTCGTAACCAACTCTCACGAGGGGCAGTAGGTGGGCGAGCTTCAAGCGCGCTCATCTCGATCGACAAGGCGTCGCTGCGCGCGGTCTACTCTTCCGTGGGGGGAGCGTCGTCGACGGGTGTGGGACCGCGGCGCAGCCACAGTGCTACGCGCTACACGATGGCGAAAACTCGTCTCGTCACACACCAAAGAGCTTACGCTCTGGCGAGACGTGAGGCGGCCGCTTCCTCCTTCGAAAACTCCTTGATCGACGGCAGCGGCGCGCCGCCGGCCTCCGCCGGCTTGAGGGCCGTGGCGACCTTGGTGGGCTCTGGCCTCTGCCCCTCGCCCGTGAAGAGCCCAACGGCCCTCTCGAGTTGCGGTAGTCCCGCTGTTTGAATTGGATTTAGAACTATTAGTTAGTACTGTTACGTAGAATTTTACAACAAAGCTCCCTCAACTGTTAGAACACGACACAACTTACGTACAATCAGGGTAGCGGCGAGGCTTGTGCCTTTAACGTTAGGCGCACACACAGCTCGCCAAGATACGGTCCCAAGAAACACCCCGCCGCTGCCCACGGTGGTCGCCAGTGGGTGTTTTTGCCACTGAGTTCTGGCGCCGTGGACTTACGCCTGTGAAGGGCTAGAGTGGCGGGTTAGAGAGAGCGTCCATTCGTTTTCCGTCGGACGCGCCGCCATGTGGAGCTCGTACTGCGCTGCTTTACCGCTTACCTTGTCCAGTAGTCCGGGAATCCTCGCTGCCACGGTGGGTCGCCAGTGGGTGTTTTTGCCACTGAGTTCTGGCGCCGTGGACTTACGCCTGTGAAGGGCTCTCGTATCGTCTTACCTTTTCCAGTAGCCCGGGGCCGCGCACTCGTTTTCCCTGCGCTTGTGCCGGACTTGCACCGATTGTTGGTTCGCTACTTGCTTCGGCCCCAGGGTCGTTCGCTATCGTCTTAAAACACATTTTCCCAGCCCGCATCAAGGTCCAACCCATTGAACTTATCATGGCGGAGGAGGCGGAGGCGGCGGAGGAGGAGGCGGCGGCTCGTCACTTAAATGCGAAATCCTGGACCCACCCCTGTGTTTCCAAGTCGCTGCTAAAGAAATCGGTTGCAGCAATGCACTGTGGAATGTTCGAACAGTGCTTCCTGACTTTCTTATTGTTTACACCGATGTTGAAAGTGAAGTTGTCAAAACGGTCTGCTCGGGTGCTTTGACCTGGCCAAAACTCCTCGGACCCTCCCGGTACATCGAATTTTCCAGGGAAGGCCAGGAACCTGCTCTTCACCTGGTCATCATACCCACCGTCCTTCGAATCTAACCCTTGACGGCTGCCATACATGTTGATCCCGTCACCATTTGGATCACCGAGAACAAAGTTCGCGAACCGACCGGTATTCAAGCAGGTGGAAACCCACTTCCCATCTTCACAGGGATCGCAGGTATCGCTAGTAGAGAGGATAAAATCGAACAACCGCCGGACGGGGCCCATGACGCGAACGTAGTCGACGTACACGTTCTTGATTGTGGCGTGTGTCGTGTAGTCATTTTCGTAGCTCCAACCATAGAAAGCACCTATAACTCCGCCGTAGTCCAAGTTTACGTCTTCAGAGCCTGTGCTGCAGCAGTTCAAATTTGGGTCTTGCTCTGTGGCACAAGCTTCCGGGTCCAGAACCTTGTCTTTGTACGTGCTCCCGGCATCATGCCATTGCTGAGAATACCATACGTCCAGGCCCTTCACTATCATGGGCTTACATCCAGCCGGAACAACGTCCGGTGTGCATGGGGTTTGAACCCAGCCGAACATGAGGGCCCACCCGTTCACCCCTTGCCAGACTATGTTATCAGAAAAGGTCTGACCGCTTTCAAATGGCTTGAGCGCATCGTCGTTCACCATCAAGAAGCTGTTTGTCACGCTACCGTCCACCCCCGTGGCGCCGATTCCATCGGTTGCCATGAACCATGTTCCGAGAACCTTCACATTGTCAACGGAGGCCCTCGTCCTTCCTCCGGGGCAATCCCATTGAGCGTTCAGCTTGATGTTGCGATTTCTCGGCCCGGCCGCGACGATCGTCACGTCGTTTACTGTGACGGAATTCCCTCGGAGCTGGATTATACCCCTGTCCTTGCAGTTCTCTAAATCATCGCAGTTGGAGCGCACGACACCGAGTCCGCGGATTTTTGCGTTATCCGAGAATTGCACCTGGTCACAGTCATCAGGCCCACCGTCAGTTCTGAAGGTCGTTTTCACAACGGCACCGATGTCGAGGCACCAAGGATCGTTATTTCGAACCGAGATGTCGCCGTCAATGTCGTAATATCCAGCAGTGAAGGTCTTCCCATCTGGCCCGACAAAGGCGCCTTTCTTGTTATCCGACGGACACGGATCGTAGCTGCTCCGACTTCTCATCGAAATCAGAAGGGGGTGTGCGTTGTCGTAGAACATCTCTACAGAGATCGTGCCCGTGTCCTTGTTTCCCCAAGAACCCTTAATCGTGAACTCGAAGACGTTCGGATCCCCACGGTCCACCGGATCCCATCCATCATCGCAATTGCTCATGTAACAAGTGATACCGGAATCTTTCCCCCTTCCCGTTCCATAACCATTTTTATTTTTGAGTGCGGCCCCAGTCCAGACCTTGACATTGACCAGCTGGTCGTCAGGGATCACGATGTTGGTGTAAGATTGGCTCAACACCGGCGAATCGACGACTTCTGAATATTTCGTTCTGTCTGGTATTTCCTCTGTGAACACGTAGGACTCTGCGGCTGCGGCGGTAGTTTGCCAATTGTCGGTAGAAACCGCCAAATAATAAAATCTATCGTTCTCCTTGCGATATATGCAATTGTAAGGCCAGCCCACGTTGCAGTCGCTCGGTGCACTTGTCAAGCGGGCCTCTTCGACGACAATGGGTTCCACGACCAGATCGTTCGGAAGAGGAGCCGAGCCACACAAGCCACCTCCGCAAACGCCAGCCACGATGCTAACTGCTGTCAACAAGACTGAGAGCACGATGATAGCAAGCCACATCCGCCGTAGCCCGTTGCTTTGTTTGGTCGGCTCCTCCGTAGTTGACTCGCTGGGCAAACGCGGCGCCGGCGACGTCTCATACTCCTTGCGTTCCTCTGATGGACCAGCGGCGGGCTCTGGCGGTGACGGCGGAGGAGATGCGGCACGTGATGCGCGCATCTTCTTCGATGTCATCGACGGCGGATTCGAGACGGGCGGCGGGGCCTTCGATTGGCGGCGCAACATGACGGCCACGGCGACAAAGGCGCCAATCGGCAGCGCACCCCAAGTGAGCCACGAGACACCGCTCGGCGAGGGCACGCCCGCGGGAGCCGCCGCCGCGCTGGGGAGGCACGCCGTGGCGGCGGCGAGGCAGACGGCCCACGCCACGCCGCGCCGAGCCCCCTTTCCGCTCGCCGCGCTCGGCCAGGAGGCGACGCAGGCGATGGCGAGGAGGAGGAGCACGAGGGCGGGCATGAGAAGCGGCGAGCAGCTCACGAGCGAGGACGCCGTCGAGGCGACGGCGGGCGAGAAGACCCAGGTCGCCGCCGAGGCGACGCCGGATGAGAAGTCGGAGGACGCCGCCGAGGCGACGGAGGCTGCCGAGGCGACGGCAGACGAGAAGGCCGAGGCCACCGCCGTCGGGCTAGGCACGGCGGCCGCGCAGTGGCCGGAGGCGGGGACGAGGGCGAGGAGCAGCCACCGGAAGGCGCCCGCGACCTTCGTGTAGCCGCCCCGCACGCAGTCGGCCGCCGCCTTGAGGCCGGCGCGACCGCCGGCGCCGCACGTGCCACCGCCGGCGCCGCACGTGCCAGCGGCGAATGGCGCCTTGCCGGACGTGGTCTGCGGCTCGCGGCGCCGGTCCGGGCGGCGGCCGCGGCCGCGGCCGCGGCTCTTGCCAGTCTTCGGCTTGCGCCAGCGCCTTGCCTTGCGCCGGCACTTCCCCGAGCGCCGCGACTGCAAGTCCGCCCACTTCTCCCGTCGCTCGGCACTGAGATCGAGCGCGGCCTTCGCCTTCTTGCGAATGCCCTCCCAGCGCTCGCGCTCCTTGGCGGCCTCGGCCTCAGCCTGCCCCGCGCCCGCGACCGCGCCAAGGGGCTTGGGCGCCACGGGCGCAATGCCGCCGGAGGGAGGGAATCCCGGTGACGGCGACTTCTTGCCATCGGCGGGGCCGAGCGGAATCTTGATGTAGGTGACGCTCGCGCCCATCCGGCGGACCTCGGCCTCGACGCCGTCCACGTAGCCCGGTCCGGTGCCGCTGCGGGCCGGCGCGGGCTGGCTCTTCCCCACCGCCTTCGGCGTGGCCAGGCCCACGTAGCAGGTGGTGTCCTGCAAAGCGCGATAGGGGCACACGGGAAGGGAGATTATTTTAGCGGTAGGTTGGAAGCGATGAGTGCCAGGAGAGTAGAGAATGCTGCGGGCCGGCGCGCTCTCACCGTTGGGTCGGTCGTGTTGGAAACGGTCTTGGCCGGCTTCTCGATCTCCTTGGCAGCCTCCTCGGCGACGACCTCCTTGGCGACGGGCGCCTCCTCGGCGACTGCCTCCGCGGCGGCGGACACCTCGGCGGCGGCGGACTTGGCGGCGGACTCCTCGGTGGCGGACACCTCGGCGGCGGCGGACTTGGTGGCGGACTCCTCGGCGGCGGCGGACTTGGTGGCGGACTCCTCGGCGGCGGACTCCTTGGCGACGACGGCCTCCTCGGTGGTGGACTCCTCGGCGGCGGACTCCTCGGCGGCGGACTCCTCGGCGGCTGACTCGGCGTCCTCCTCGTCGGCGGCGGACTTGGCGGCGAACTCCTCGGCGGCGGCGGACTTGATGCCGCACGCCTGGGTGAGGGGAGAACACGCAAGTGTGCGGAGACAGGGAGACCGTAGGGATGATGACAATCCTGGCATGCGCACAATCACCTCGGCTCCGAGGTGCGAAGGCAGCGACGACAAGTAGATCTCGTCCACATCGCCGTCGGGCTTGGCCGTGTCCACCGCGGGCTTGGGCGCGGCCTTGACGTCGTCCTTGACGCCGCACGCCTGTGGGCGAGAGCGAATACGCAGGCGTTCGGAGACGGGGAGATTGCACGGAATGTGCTCTTGGCGTGCGCACACTCACCTCGGCTCCGAGGAGCGAAGGCGACAGAGACATGTTGCCGACAGGAGCCGTCGGCGCAGACTCGGACGGGACGTCATTGCCGTTGCCGATGACGTCATTGAGCGACGCGGGCTCGCTCTCGGACGAGATGCCGTCGTGATTGCCTCCGGCAGAGTCGACGACGGACGGAAGTGGTGGGCACGAGGTTTTGTCGACGGTGAACGTGAGGCGCCGCGAGGTCTCGCAAACACGACGCCGACGTACTCGAGCGGAGCGGGCTTGCCCTCGGACGGGATGACGTCCTCGAGCAAAGCGGGCTCGCCCGACGGGATGACGGACGGGATGACGTCCTCGAGCGAAGCGGGCTTGCCCTCGGACGGGATGCCGGCGGCCTCGCCTCCGGCAGCGTTGACGGTCGTGTTGCCCGCCAGCGACGCCTGTGTCAGCCAGAAGGCCAGAGGATAAGTCTTGCAGGTGGGAGCGCATTGTCACGTGCGCGCAAGCACACGCCTGCTTGTCAGCAAGCGGCGGCGGCGGAGGAGAGAGCTTGAGCACGAGCTTGTCACCGGCGGCCGGCACGAGCTCGAGTTTGAGCTTGTCGAGCATTTTGATCGAGTTCCTGCAGCGCGCGGGGGTATGCACGCCAAAGAGAGTCGATAGATGCAGCTCATGGAGAAGGCTGTGTGACGGGTTCATGTGAAGGCTGTGTGAAGGACAACGTGTGGAAGTAAAGTGCTTTTACTACTGGAACTTTACTACTGGTTGCTGGAGACTGTGCAGAGCACTACTATTATTGATAACAGTCTGCGATGGTTATCTCCGCTTGATCTCGGGTCAATCTCCGTCGGGTCCATCTCGGCGAATGGAGAGGTCAGCACCTACAGGTCGCGACGATGTGAAAGTCAGTCTCACAGTGCTACAGAGATGGGGGTATATATGGGGTGTATATGGGTGTATATGGGGGGATAAATGGAGTCTTGAGTGCTCTCAAGTGAAGAGGGCCAGGCACCATGCAGAAAGAGGTGCGGAAGTCCCAACGGGGCCACCCGGCATCAAGCCGACTCGGCGATCATGTGTCAATCTCGGCTTGATCTCGGGGTCAATCTCGGCGAACGGAGAGGTCAGCACCGACGGGGTCATGACCATGTCAGTGAAAGAGGGTCAAAAACTGCTGTCCAGGGGGGTGGTGTCCCCGATGGAGGGTGCAGGCCAGCGCTCGAGTGGCCCTAGCGGCTGCGGGCACAGAGTCGCACTCTCTAGACGCAGCAGAGATGCGAGAGCAGGCCGTCTCAGCGGGGTCAATCTCGGCTCGTATCGCATCTCTCTGTGCAGAGGACTAACGCGAGCTCTGATGACTGGTTTTGGACGAGAGTGTCGAGCAGGAGAACGCCGACGCGCCTACGGACCGCACGTCGCGGCGTGAGCGTCGAGACGAGGCCGCCGGCACGCTCTCTCGCGTCCTCGGCGCTCGGACTGGAGCCGGGCGGCGATTGTGGCGAGCAAGCGAGAGCGGGTCGCTCTCTTGCCAGAAGAGAGGGAGGGCGGTCGCGCGCGACAAGGGTGGGCAATGGGCAGCAGCGGACGCGTCTCGCGGCTTCCTCGACGGCAGCGGCTGTACCTGCGAGCGGGAGTAGGCAGGCGGTGCGAGGCCGAGGGGGGTATACAGCCGCTCGCGCGACGAGCGAGGGCGCATCGCGTGGTGGGGGAGGTGAGGGGGCGGCGGGTTCCGTGAGCGATAGGCGTCGCGGGGGTCTAGGCGTGCAGCTCGCGGCGGCATAGTCGGGCGCAATGCGGCGCGGCAAGCGCGAGCGGACGAGGAAAGTGCATGGCTGCCTTGTGTGGATGTCAGGCAAAAGGCCGTCGGCGGCGCTCGGTTTTCTTTTTGTGCCGAGCCGCCGTTCACACACGAACTCGGCGTGTCGACGACAGCTGTCGATGCCGCTCTCTGAACCACCCTGCGCCCCTACGTGCCACTCGCCCTCGCTCGCGTGCCACTCGCCGATACTCTGCTACCCAGAGGGACCGTGGCGTACACCAGGTCGCCGAACCCGCTGCCCCCCTCGGGAGGCAGCGAGTAGGCGACCTGAATATTGGACCCGCTGGGGTTGCGCCTCCACATGTCCACACCGGTACCTGGGGTACTCTCGATACGTTCACACCGGCGGTACGCGCGAATAAGGTGTGCACCGCCCATCGCGCGAAACGAACAGCCTCAGCTCTCATGCCGCCAGCCAAGAAGCCCACCTCCACGCAGAACACGACGCTCCAGACCATGGGCATGGACGTGAGATCAAGCAGTACCCGGGCCCGCTGACAGTCTCGAGGGCCGTCACGCAAGCTACTAGCTAGCCGGCAAGACCGGCTCCCGGGCAAGCACTCTTCCACCGCACCTCACCGGCGCGGAGCAGAACGCGTCGAGTTCACGGTGAGTACGGCAACGTCTCCGCCCCCCTCGGCTGCACCGTCCTCCAACTCGCCGGACCCCCATCGAGCTCCGACGCTGCCGCTTCGCCTGCGCCATCCTCGGGCTCGGCCAGGCCGCCGACCCACCCTCCGCCGACCCACCCTCCGTGACATAAGTGTGCCGGCCAGCGCCCACACCGGCACCGGGGGTAGGGTCAGAGGGACTGCACCCAAGGTGTTGAGGTGAGCAGATGAAGTGTGGAAGAGGTCAGCGCGAGCCGGTGTTATAGAGATCATCCCTCGCCCGTCTCGTGCCGCCAGAAGAGAGAAAGTGCGCAGCCCATTGGGCGGGTCTGAGTGCCGTGTGCGTGAAGATTTTGCGGCGTTCTTCGCACATGGAGTGCAAGATTCTCGTTTGTCATTCCTCTTTCTCACCTTTTTTTGCACGACACTGTCCGCTAAAATTCTTTTTTAGAGCGCCTTCGTTGTTAATAATACAAACCGATGATGTGTCGCGGGTTTTATTTTTCTTGCATCACGTCTTGAGCAAGAAAACACTTGATGTTTTTCTTCTTTTTTTCATTGTGAAAGAAAGAAAGAAAGAAAACACACAACCCAAGGGAGGGATGGGAGAACGGCACGCCGCCACCACACAGGGATTTTAAGGAGAGGAGTGTGGTGCGCTAGCCGTCGCCCACCCTGGGGAGTCTGCCTCTTCGTATCTCTTTTCGCAGTCTCTCGCCGCTTCTCGCTGCAACCTTCATGCCACCTCGCGGCCGTCCCACTCTCGTCGGTCTCTCCCTTGTCACTTCCTCCTCTGTCATTTCATTGTGCTGTAGAGAGGCTCGGGGGCCAGAATTCTTTTTGAGACGAGAGCATCACGCTTGCTTCAAGCTCGCCCGTCCTCTGTCTGCAATGCCGGAGCGGTCTCACCGCAACGCACTCGGGCTGCTCCGCTCCCAAGACGCGCTCATCAAAACGGTAAAGAACGACGACTGGCTCTCCCTTGTTTTTGACCTCCTCTCGCACTCGCGCTCGTCCTGCACGCTGCCGCCGCCCGGAGGCGAAGCAAGCGCCCGCCTCCTGCAAAAAACGCGCAACCGCGACTCAATCGCCACTCATTGACTCCAGATCACACCAACACCCGCCTCGTTTCGCCGCGCTCCTCTCCAGGTGGCGGGATGCGCCTCTTCGGCCGCGTCGAGGAGGGCTGCGCAGGTGTGCTGGCCGCCTCCGCCTCCACCTCCGCATTCAGCCCTCACCGTACCCTCACTGCCCTTGCTGATGGAAGAGGGCCTCCTTGCTGGCAGGCATCCTGCTGGCGCGCGGCGCTCTCGACGAGTCGGCCGCCGAACTCTCTTCTAAGAAACCCCGTCCCGGCCTGCCGTATGAGCACATCGTTTGATGACTTCCTTCACCTCTCAGGCCGCCCTCTGCTGGCCCTCGGGCTACAACGCGAAGACGGAGCACCACCTGACCATCAGCCGCAGCGGGGCCGTCTCGCTGAGCGGAGGCCGCGACGCCGCACGCGTCTCCCTCGCCGACCTCGAGGTGCGCACCTCTCTGTGGTACCTAGTTCTCCCGCGCTCTTCGTTTACTGTTCTTTTTACAGACGCCTCGCTGCTCTGTTCACACGCACCTCTCGTGGCCTCCCGAGTCTTGATGCGTCTCCCTCGCCGCCCTCGAGGCGCGCCTCTAACGCAGTACCCCTCTTGAGATACGCCTCTCTAACTTCATGCCTCTCCACCACCTCCCACCTCGCACACCTGCTCACTGATACCTCTTACACCTCTTTACTCCTCCCAGCTCTTCCAATCTGCTCTCACCTGCCTTTTGAGGCGTCGGCGCGCGAAGGGCTGGCGGCGGCGAGGCGGCGCGGCCGCGGCGGCGGCAGCAGCGGGGGCGGAGGAGCCGCTGGTTGCTAGAGTCGCTTGGGCGTGGAGAGGCTGGGGTGGCGATCGATCTTGTGGAAGTGAGGCTGCGAGACTAGGCGGCTGGACTGGCCTCGTGGCTGGTGTGCTGCGGTGGCTTGGAGGCGGGTCCGAGGCGGAGGAGGAGGAGGCGGGGGTCTCGGTGGCGGCGGCGAAGGCGGAGGCGGTGGAGGCGGAGGCGGAGCCGTTCTTGGCCTACAACGAGGCGGCGCTGCGAGCAATATTACATGTTCTGATATTACATATTCTCAATCAGTCTGGGTAGTACAGTATATTGGCATGTTAGTCGTTTTTGGCATGGTAGGCGGCGAGAGCACACGAATATGTTCTCACCAAACACAGTCGCCGAAACTAAGTCTGTTGCAATTGTGCGTACCCCGCAGGTCAACCTGCCGCTAAGCGCCGATGCGGTTGTGGCGGTCGTGGTTCGCTCCTCTCGCCCCGGCCACCTGCGAACAGCGATGGGCGCGCACAGACTAGTCGTACGCAACTTTTAATTCCACGAGATCTGACCCCCTACCCACACGCCCAAGCGACTAGCGGCAGAGACGTAGCTTCAAAATTCACACAAGAAGGCCACCTGCGGCATAGCGATGGGCGCGCGCACAGAGACCTGCTTTGAGCAAGATCGCTTCCCCTCCTAATTTCACAGCTGCAATCTGCCCCTATGAACGTGACTACCCCTAGAAGAGCACTGTCTGTTTCCCTCTCTGGGGTACATTGCTCTGGGGTCACAGCTAGACTGTTCCAGCTGCTGGCCGTGACCTGTGAACAGGCGCGGCCGTGGCTATTCCCTCGCCCCTCTGCTCACAGCTGCACTCCTCCAGCTGCTGTGAATAGGCGCGAGGGACCTGCTCGAGCACGCCTTCCCTCCCCTCTCCCTCCCCGTCGTGCGCGTGACGCCGGGAGGTGCAATCTCGGACAATCTCGGGCAACCTCGGGCAGCCTCGGGCCTTCCTATTAGTCATATCTCCGGATACCGCAGTATCCTAGAATCTACTCACAGTATCTCGTGCGGCGTGGATGTGCAAGCGGGGCTCGCGGTGTGGTGTGATGCCCGTGAGCTGCTACTTAGACTAGCTATTTATTAACTAGGTGGGGCGGTGCCCGTGAGCTGCTAATTAGACGACCTATTTATTAATTAGGTGGGGCGGTGCCCGTGAGCTCCGCCGAGCAACAGACCGCGCTGCTGCAGGGTGCGGAGTGCGGCGCCGCCGCCGTGCAGGAGACGCTACGCAGTATAGGACCCTCTACCATGCTAGCTTCCCATGCCATGCTTTCGATGTGCCACAGTTTAGTAAGCGGAGCTAAAGTAGCACTGGTAGTAGAGCGACTCTTTAGGAAGAAGCAACACGCATCACGGACCCTGGCGCATGCTAGAGTTTCCCTCCCGCCATGCGTCCCATGTCAGCGGTGATAGTGCGCCTTGCCTTTGTATGTGCAGCGGGCAGTGTGCTGCCTCCGTCTCGTTCACGGTACACACTCTCTGCCCTCCCAGGCGGCGCTGCAGCAGACGGCGCCGGGCGAAGCTGCAGTGCCTGCCAAGGCGCGAGGGGGCCTAATCGAGTCGTCGCCCCGTGGCCAAGTCTAGTGTACAGAAATAATACTTCACCAATCACCGCAAATGACGCATGAACTACTCATCCAAAGCACCACTAATAATCGCAATTAATACTCCGGCGTCGTGCCTGCCTCCCAAGGCGAGGGCGGCGGCGAGCGGCTTGGAGGCGCGGCTGCCGGTGGACCCAACCGGCTTCGGACTCCGCGCTGCCTCTCGTCGCAGGTGCGTTGGTGATCGCAGCGCCGATTCACACCAGCAGCTGTGAACAGGCCTCAGCGCGCTCGAGCGGGTGGCGCTGCACGCCGCCGTCGGCATCACCTCCACACCCTACGGAGCGGATCGGCCACAGTTGTGAACGGCGTCTATTCACACCGGAGGGCTGTGAACAGGCATCACCCACGAGGCGGTGTCGGAGGCGCGCCGCGCACCGCCCCCTCCCCCCTCGCCACCTCCGAGATGGGCTCAAACCCGTCTTTAGTCCAATGTCAGTGTGAATTGATTGATTCACTTGGCGGAACTAGTCAGGCGCTCCGTGACCTGGCGGCCGTCCTCGCCGCCTCGCCCTCCCTCGCCTGGGAGGCGGAGCGAGGGGGCGACGTCGCAAAGTGCCTCGGCAAGTGCAGGCCGGCGGACGGCGGCGGCGGCGGCATCGGCAACTGAGCTCTTCCCGTGCCGCGTCGGTGTGAAGAGGAAGTGTTCACAGCGGGGCGCGGTGTGAACAGGCGAGCTCTCGCGTGCCGTGTCGGTGGCGTTGCGCGCCGCCGCGCTCTGCGACAATGCCGGCGCGGCACGGGGGAGGGGGGGGGGAGGGACAAAGTGTGCCGTTCGCCCGGGAAGCGGTGTGCGCGCTTGCTCATGCGATGTAGGCGAGGGAGGTGGTGCAACTAATGAATTAAGAGTATTCGTTAATTAGTTAATTAAGCCAGCCAGTGTAGGCTCGGCGAGGGAGGTGGTGCGGTGCGCTGTGCCGCTGCTGCTTGGCTCCTCCCCTCCCTTCTCCGCCTCCTCGCCTCGCCGCTTGCCAGGGGACGGCGGGGGCGGGGGCGAGGGCGGCGGCGGCGCCGACTACTGCCACTGGTCCTCGGAGGCGCGCTGGCGGCTTTATTTCACGACGAGTCCACATTCCATGCACTTCTAGTTACTGGCGTATCGCAGTGAGATGCAGCGGCTACTTGCCCGGCGCGCACCGGTTGGCGTACCGCGCGATCCCGCCCCTGTCTATCCCCCCCCCCACCCCCCCCCCCCGCGCCCCGCCCCATCCCCCTCCCCCAGGCACGAGACGTGGAGAGAGCGTCTCTCTTCACCGCCGCCGCCGCGGGCAAGCTCCTGCTGCCGGCCGCGGGAGCTCGGCGAGGACGCGAAGTCTCCCTGACTGTTCTCGGAACCTTTCCCCCACTAGGCCAGCTGCTGGCGGCGCGGGAGCTGGTCGATAACGACGGAGAGGAGCAGGGGCGGGGCAGCAGTGCCAGGGGCGGCAGCGACGCCGGCTCGGGGGGCAGCGGTAGCGGTGGCAGCGGTACAAGAGTTGGAGGCGGCGGCGGAGGCGGCGGCGGTTGCGAAGGAGGTGGCGGAGGCGGCGGCGGCGGGCCGTCTCGCTCCTCGCAGCAAGAGCTGCTCGTGGCCTTCGGCGCTCAGAGATCGCTGTCGCCATGTTAGCAACAAGAGGTCTTTCCCGGACCTTTCTCGGAATTGTCCTTCATTAGGCGCTCAGATCGCCGTCGACGTTAGTAGCTTACCCACGGGCCCTTCTCGGAACCTTCCTTCATATCATTAGGCGCTCAGATCGCCGTCGACGTTAGTTGCTTTACAAAGACCCCACGGACCCTTCTCGGACCCTTCCTTCATATCATTAGGCGCTCAGATCGCCGTCGACGAGTTTGTGTCGGGACGCACTACTCGCAGGCGCGCGAGGAGCGGCGGCGATCTAGCCGCCGATGTCTGCTGTTCCCCCACCTTTCCCTCATTGGCTGTTAAGGCTCGAGAGGGCGATCTAGCTGCCGATGCCGATCATTTCCCGACACTTCCCTATTTTTTTGTCTCTGCAGGCTCGAGGAGGCGATACGCGTGTGCGAGCGGTGGCTGGAAAGTGCGGAGCCGGGAAGCAGCGGCAGCAGCGGCGGCGGCGGCGGCGGCGGCGGCAGCAGCAGCAACCGCAGCGGCGGCGGAGGCGGAGGCGGAGGCGGCGGAGGCGGCGGCGGTGGCGGCGGCGGCCCTTGCACCGGCGCGAGCGCCTTGTTCTTCCGTCTCGGGTGCACTCGGATGCCCGCACGCATGAGATGGCCTTACGGTTAGCAGCCCCCTCTTCACAGCTGCCGGTGTGAACACTGTATATACAGGTCGTGGAGGGAGACGCGGGCCGAGGGGTACCAGGGCACGTCCGACCTCTGCTCGTTTGTGGGCGGGCGGGCGGTGCGCAACCGGCGCCGCTTCCTCCTCGACCTCATTCGCTTGCGCGAGGCGCCGAGCGTCTAAACTCCCTGTATCTCCCCGTAA